ATGTAGGGTCAAGATTACAAGCAGGAAGAGAAAGAGGGGCATAAGGAATTGTCAGAGGAGAGATAATCCGGATAGGTAAGGTAAAACCTGCCGATGGAGGGTTAGGAATTCCAGGGTGGGAATTTCAGAATTGATCCATTCGCAACCAGTAGATGAACATTTGTAGATGCTGCTAGAATAAAGTAGTCTTCAAACACAGGATCTGGCTTTGTGCTCAGAGAACCAAGGATGTAGCAAGAATGAACATAACGTGTTGAAGGAAATCTCAGCAGGGCCCTAAAGGATGAAGAAGAATTAGCAATAAGGAGAGAAAAACAATGAGCATTGTTATACACAGGGCACCTTTGTAAGTATGACATGAATAAACTAAGGTTTTGGAAAGACCAGTCTAATAAGGAGTTGAAAATTGTTTGTGGTATAGGAAAGCTTTTTTGGAGTTTCTGAAGCAATTTCTTAGGTACCCAAGATGAAAGTAATATTCCATCAGTCTTTTCTTCAGAATTATTTTGTGATTTATTTCCAAAATTATTATACAGGTGCCTTTTACAGTTTTAGTATCCTCAATCCGTTGTGAGTTTTCAAGGCTTAAGATAATAGAACTGTAGCAGTGGATGAAATACTAAAAGTTAGCACATCTTTAACCCAGCTCCACCCCCTCTCTAGATAAAGAAAACAAGACTTCTTGAAGTAAACTAAATTAGACATAATACCATAATTAGAACTCACATCTGCTAATTTCTACACATGGGGACTTTCTATAACTATTGTATTGCCCTCATTTTACTTGATGCTGTCTTTGAGTGTTTCTGTTGAAGATTTTTTTGAATTTATGTACTTTTTATGTTTTACTTTGTATAACTCCATATTCTTTTTTAAGTATCAGTAACACTTTTAAGAAAAAAAGGTGCTTTTTTGAAAAAGAGTCTTATAGGGACACCAGGGCGGCTCAGTTAAGCTGCTGCCTTCAGCTCAGGTCATGATCCCAGGGTCTTGGGATCAAGTCCCGCATCGGGCTCCTTGCTAGGCAGGGAGCCTGATTCTCTCTCCGCCTCTGCCTGCCACTCTGCCTGCTTGTGTGTGTGTGCGCGCGCGTGCGCATGCTCTCTCTCTCTCTCTCTGACAAATAAATAAATAAAATCTTTTTTTTTTTAAGAGTCCTATAAAATCCATTTTAACTCATATGTCCTTTGAGAATTTTTAATATATGAAATATTAATACATAGATAAGAGTATATGTAATATGCAAGTTATAAAGCCTGATAATAAAATGAACACTTATGAATCCACCACCCAGCTTAAGAAATGGAACATGATCAATTCCCATGACTCTGCCTATGTGTGCTCCTTGCCTGTGACCTTTCTGTCATCCACCAGCCTACAATGCCATTTTCTGTGCTACCACATTTCTAGACTTTTTATAAATACTAGTTCTCTAGTTAAGAAACTATCTTCTCTTGAATGGAATTCAAGTTTGTTAAATGTAGTTTCATAAATGGCTGTTAAATTTTGTCAAATGCTTTTTTTATGCATCTGTTGAGATTTTTCTCCTTTAATCTGTTAATATGATAAATTGGATTAATAGAATTCCTAGCACAAAGTGACCTTTGCATTTATAGGATAACCTCAACTTTTCAAATGATTTTTATTGTTTTTATACTGCCAAATTCCATTTGCTAATATAATTTTTAGGACTTTGATTTTCGCCCCTATATTCATCAGTGAAGTTGCCTAGCATTTTTTCTTTTTCTGTCCTTATTTCTTGATCAGATTTACTGCCTTACAGAATGAGTCAGGAAGTGTTTCTTTTTTCTAGAATAATTTCTTCAGGATGGTAAGTGCCTGATAGAACTCAACTGTAAAATCCTCTGAGGTTGATGTTTTCTCTAATGTATAGAAACTTCAGTGATTTATATATTTTTTAGAATTTCTCTATTTCACTTTTTTTAATTTTTTGTTTTATTTTTAATTTACTAACCACCAATTTATAGTATTCTCTCATTCTTATTTTGTTATTTTTGAGGGGAGGCTGATGACTTTGTTCTTTTTCCAATTTTATAAGTTAAATCTCTAGCTTATAAACTGTCACTGCTTCTAATTTTTTTCATCTAAATATTTGGAATTAAGTATTTTTCTCCAAGTGCCTCTGTAGTTGCATCCCACAGGTTTTACTGTGTTTCATGGTAAAAATCAGTTCAAATACATTCTCATTTCCACGTTGCTTTTCTTTGAACAGTTAGTTATTTAGAAGTGTTTTTAAATGTCCAAATATATGAGATTTTTAAGGTTAACTTTGAGTCAGTACAAAAATAATTTTTTTTAACTTTTTTTGAGATTTGCCTTATAGCTAGTACATGATCAGTTTTCATAAATGTTCCATGGTGCTTAAAAAGAATGCATATTCTCCAGTTTTTAGGTATAAGATTCATTGATATGTTTAGATTAAGCTTTCTTCTTAATGCAGTTCAGGTTTTACTGGTGTTGTATCTTATTTTTTGATCTGGTTTTATAAATCATTTACCAAGGAGTTTTAAAATACTGCACTATAGTGGTGATTATGTTCCTTTCTCCTTGCAGTTTTATTGCTGTATCTGTTTGGAAGCTATGTATAGATATAGCATATCTTATAATAGGTAGAGCATTATAAATTTTGAATTGTTGTTACATAATGAATTGACTAATCATGTTATCTCTTTCTCTAGTAATTTTTTTTAATCCTAAAATGTATTCTTTCTCATATTAATATAGCTACATAACTTTATTTTGGGTAGGTTTGCCTGTCTTTTTTCATCCTTTAACTTCCTGGTTTCTCTACCCTGTGAATTAGAGCTGTCTCTTATAAAGAGCATTTAATCCAACCTTACAGTCTGATTTTTTAAATATCTTAACTCAAGAAATTAATCCATTTATATTATGGTTACTGATTGATTTGTTCCTTTTTATCTTATGCTTTATCTTATTTCCCTTTTTGCTCCTTTTTTTGCCTTCCTTTGAATTGAACAAATATATTTCTCATCCCATTATTTGTCTTTCTAATTTGGGGATATCATATACTACTACTTCTAGTAACTACCTGTGAAATTTTAACACTCATACTCAACCTAAAGTTAATATCTTTACCTCATCTTCAACAATATAAGGATTTTTAAATCAGTCTCTTGCTTATGCTATTTTTTTTAAAGATTTTATTTATTTATTTGACAGAGACCACAAGTAGGCAGAGAGGCAGAGAGAGAGGGGGAAGCAGGTTCCCCGCCAAGCAGAGAGCCCTATGCAGGGCTTGATCCCAGAACCCTGAGATCATGACCTGAGCCGAAGGCAGAGGCTTAACCTAACACTGAGCCACCCAGGCGCCCCTTGCTTATGCTGTTTTTATTCAAGTTTTAGTACTGTCTTATTATCTGTTTGCTTGGTAATTTTGAAAATTACTCATGTTCCCATTGTTTAATATTTTCTGTGCATAGAATCTCCTTATGTTTACCAGTATTCCTGATTGCAACTTGGTCCTTCAATCAGGGAAAACTTTTTCTTAACCCTAAACTACGTGCTTTAGAAATTGTTGTAAGAGCTTATGGATGAAAAAAAATTTAAAAATTTAAAAATTTAAAAAATTTTTTAAAAAGAGCTTATGGATGGTGGAGTCTATTTTTGTCTAAGAATGTTATTTTGACCTCATTCTTTTATGTTTTTGTTGGCCAAACAATTCTAAGATAGTTATTTTCTTTTAGCAGCTTAAAGATACTCCACTTTCTTCTGGCTTCCTTTTTGCTATTAAGAATCTAACTGGGGGGCGCCTGGGTGGCTCAGTGGGTTAAGCCTCTGCCTTCGGCTCAGGTCATGATCTCAGGGTCCTGGGATCGAGCCCCGCATCGGGCTCTCTGCTCAGCGGTGAGCCTGCTTCCCTCTCTCTCTGCCTGCCTCTCTGCCTACCTGTGATCTCTCTCTCTCTGTCAAATGAATAAAAATTAAAAAAAACAACAGTTACCTTTAAAAAAAGAAAAAAAAAAAAAAAGAATCTAACTGGAGGGGCACCTGAGTGGCTCAGTGGGTTAAAGCCTCTGCCTTCAGCTCAGGTCATGATCCTGGGGTCCTGGGATCGAGCTCCACATCGGGCTCTCTGCTCAGCAGGGAGCCTGCTTCCTCCTCTCTGCCTACTTGTGATCTCTGTCAAATAAATAAATAAAATCTTTAAAAAAAAAAAAAGAATCTGACTGGATGGTTTTGGGAATAATCTGTCTTTAGCTACTTTCTGCTATCTTCTATTTTCTTTGTTCTCTAGAATTGACTATAATATGACACATGTTTAATTCATTATTATAATTCTGTTATTTTTTTCTGCTTGGGATTGATTGTGGTTGGTATTTGTTGTATCATCCAGCAGTTATGTAAATATTTTATGAATTCACAGTGGATACATTTCTCCCCTCCACCCAGAGCCACTCCCAACACAGACAAATTTATTTGCTCTCTGCTTTTGTAGGGTAGATCTTTATTCCTAGTTCACTCTTTCCCCAAGACTGAAGTCTTTCTTGGGTTTTAGCTTTAAGCCCAGCAGTTCTCCAGTCTTATTCCCATCCTACAAAGGCCTAAGACTTAATGCCTGTTCCTTTGAGTGCAGAACATAGTCAAAACAAAAGTTTTAGGTCATTGGTGTTCATTTGAAATTCCCAGGACTAACAGTTTAAGCACTTAACTGGACTCCTGATCCTGCTTTATTTCTGGTCTCAGAGCATTTCTCTTACTTTCTTGAAAGCTCATCAGTTTTTAAGAGGTATTCTGCATGAGTGCATATAAATTTTTTGTTTGTGTGTATACATATGTACAGACGTGTGTGTGTGTGTGTATAAAATCTTAGAGGATTTATTTATTTTTTTCCAAGAGTATTTCAGGACCTCTAGTGATAGAAATGGAAAGCTGTCCTTTGCTTTATAATAAAAATTTTCTCGTATCTTTTTTTTCACATAAAAATCACATTTTGTTCCTCCTATCATTTCTTCCTATAGGTAAGCAGTAGGTCATCCAGTCCTAGCGTCAGAATGATCACTACCTCAGGACCAACCTCAGAAAAGCCAACTCGAAGTCATGCATGGACTCCTGATGATTCCACAGGTGACCAGTGTATTTCCTCACTATAATTAAGAAGTTGAATTCATCATATTTGTTTCCATTTATTTGTGTCATGACACTGATCTTTATAAAGGCAGGCATTTCAGAGTAGATTTTCATATTAATAAAATCAAATATTTAGCAATAAACTTAAAGATGAGTTTTTGAGTACTGAGATAGATTGTCTTGCCTTCTGCATTTTCCCCCCAGATACTAACCATCTATATTAAAGATGATTTTGTTCCTCTACAGAGGAGGATACTGTATTCTTGATTCTTAAGTCTCTGATTTTCCTATTTTTGATCCATCCTACAGATGATAGTAAAGTCCATTATCATTTAAATAACTAAAATCAGTAGGAGAATAAAAATAATCATCTTAGTCTTTTGTCTTAAAGACACGAGATACCATGTATTTCAGTAAGAAAAAAAAATTCTGACCGTTAATGTTACATAAATTTCTGTTAATTAGACCTTAAAAAGCCTGTTAAATTAAAACTCCCTAGTGGCACCTAGGTGGCTCAGTGGGTTAAGCCTCTGCCTTTGGCTCAGGTCAGGATCTCAGGGTCCTGGGATTGAGCCCTACATCGGGCTCTCTGCTTCCGCTTTGTCTCTGCCTGCCTACCTGTGATCTCTCTCTCTCTCTCTGTGTCAAATAAATAAATAAAATCTTTTAAAAATAGTAATAATCATACTAAAATTCCCTAACATGAATGACTAACTGGTCAAAATACTAGTATTAAAATCTAATGATGGAATAGTTTTATTATGGGCAAGCAGGAAGTTATGTGCCACAGTGGAATTAACTTTCCTTAGCATTAAGAGAATTCCCTGATAAATACTCAGCAGTATGGTTCTATAAAAATTTATTATTTATATGTTATTATGTCAGAGAGGGAAAGATGATCTCCTAGGTCTTGGAAAATTAAACCATTTGTGATTTTATTTAAGATCAACTGTGTTATTAATAGTGTCAATTAAATTGAAATTAAAAAGTCAGCTTTCTCCCTTTACAAACTAAAACACTCCTTGTAAGTATTTATAGATATTTGGCATGGCTTAGTCAAGTTCGTAATTTAATTTAAAAAAATTAACTGAATAGCTTTCTCTCTTTCATGTAAGATACAACTAAGTTTAGCCAGGGGTGTACTCTCTCGTTTTAGTAAGTTTAAATTTAGTGGTGGCAAAAAACTCCTCTGAGTTTCACCCCCTAGCAAGCCCAACCCCAATTGTCCAGAACATTCACCACTCAGCACATATGCAGAATTTGTCACAATGTGCTTTCTCTCAGAGGTAGGTAGGGAAATGCTCTTGACAGATTTGATCATTAACATTCAGGTAAGGTTAGCTCTTTCCTGGTTCTTCAACCCTCAATACTTGCCCTGACATTACACCATTTGCTGAGAGCTAGTGCTCATCTTTTGCAGGGCCTCCTGACTTCAGCCTAGACTACTCTAGCCATGCCAGTCAATGGAATTGTGAATTCATGGAAGTAAAATAAAAATTCTCTTATGTCCCTTTCACTTCTGTTTTTTTTTTCCTACTTCATGTGTTCTTCCAGCCTTTCAAACCCAATCTCACTTTTTTCCTTGCTGGGACCTAAAATACCAATAGCTAGAAATCATATCTAGGTCCAAAATTCAACTGAATTTTGTCTTTCCTTTAAAATACAGCAAGTATGTGGTTATAATTTTAGGTAATTTTGAATATAATTTTAGAAGTTGAAACTGGTTTAAGCTTATATTTAATGATGTTCAGCTTTGCATTGTTTCTAAGAAAAGTACTGATAATAAAGCTAATACAATAAATTACAGGGAAGAGATATTAGTAAAGCCTTTTTCTTTGAAGTCTCCCTGATTCAGGAAAAATTTAGAAGTGCATACATAAGTTTAAGTAACCTAATTAATTAGGTAGTTTTATTTTAAAAGAGGAGGGATTTCTATCCATTTTCAGAGAAAAATAAGAAGCATATCAGTTTAATAATCATAGCACACAATGAGTGCTCTTGGATTTATATTTATAATATACAGAGGATGAAGAAAGACATACATACCCAAGAGCAGTTAGAAAGATAGCTAGACACAGTAGAGGGAGCCAGAGAGAGGGAAAAACCCACTGAAGAGTTTTTCTTATTTGCAAAGTTTAGAAGTATAAAACATGGCCCACTGCTTACAATCTTATTAGAGTCATAATACTGACATATTAAAAATAAAAAACTCATCATGCTTTATGTAATTTAAAAAACTACTAAATTTGCAGTGGAAAGCTCAGTGTTTTAAAAGTTAATAGAACAATCCTTGAATTTTTTTTTTCTATTCCCTGAATACTGTGAAACATTAATATACTTAATTTTAAAATATGTATCAGAGGGGCGCCCATGTGGCTCTTTCAGTTAAGCATCTGCCTTCAGCTCAGGTCATGATTCCAGGATCCTGGGATGGAGCCCGGCACTGGCCGCCTTCTCCCTTTCCTGCTCCCCATCCCGCTGCTTCTGCGCTCTCTCATGCTTTCTCTCTCTCTCTCTCAAATAAATAAAATCTTTTAAAAAATAAAAATTTTTTTAAAAGTAAATATATATCAGATGACAGGGTGCTTATTTGATAAAATATACCAAGTATGAAAGATTTAAGAAAGTAATAAGAATAGAAATATTGAACGAGTTCAAGATACTTAATTCTTCCTATAAAGCCCAGGGGGAAATAATTTTTAATCAATTGTACTTTTGCGGAAAGTAATGTTCCCTGGGCACATAGTTCGAAACTGTTGTTGTGGGTAGGGAAAGAGTTAGAGAGATAATAAGTTAAATGTAGTTTTCCTTTAGCCATTCCAGAAGATTACTTACGTTAGTATATGATTTTAGGGTAGGTAAGACTGTATTAGGCACTACACTCTACTCTTTATTGCACTCCAGTATTTAATAAACATTACGTTTTTTAAACATTACTTTTTCAATCTGAAATGCAAACTTAAGTATGTAAAACTGCGCTTCCTTCCTAATTCTCCATTTAGTGTCAATAATAACAACAGTAGTAGTAACCATCACCACCATGTGTTGACAGCTTACTATATGTTAGCATTGCACGGTATTTCTTACATGCATTTTCTTATATCGTTTGATTTAGCTTAGCTTTTGGAGTTACTTGCAAGCACATTCACAGTGGCTTTGAAAAAGAAAACTAGAATATCCGTCAGTAATAAATTATTGAAGTTACTGAACCATCAGACTGTCCTGGATTTTTATTGCATCGCATGCCGTGCCTTGCTGTCAGCCCGAACGCATATTTATCTGCACCATCTTTCAAGGAGTCACTTGTTAGGAAAGGGGCTGAACAGTTCACTTTTTTTTTTAAGACTATTTATATATTTATTTGACAGACCACAAACAGGTAGAATGGGAGGGAGAGGGAGAAGCAAGTCTCTCCGCCGAGCAGAGAGCCCGACGTGGGGCTCAATTCCAGGACCCTGGGGTCATGACCTGAGCTTACAGCACACGCTTTGCAACTGAGCCACCCAGATGCCCTTGAACAATTCTCTTATTTAACTCATTTACTCTTTCCTAACAGTGGGAAAGCAGCTACTTGTGAAATAAAAAAGTCCATATTACTTCACAGTTGCCCTGCCTGCTTCTGGAGGCATAAACATGTGACTCATGAAGTTGTTATGACAGTTTACCTCTTTTGAAATACAAATAAAAGCTGTCTGTTCAAATACTTTGATAAAATCAACAGGTTGTTTGATTTAACCCATTTAACTCTCCCACCCATGACATCGAGCTAGTTTCCCTACTATTCATTACACCTGTGTTCATTGTACTCCCCTCAAAAACATCTTCCATTTTCTGCAGCGATTCTCATTAGGAGAGGTGGGAAGGAGTTCACACTAGAATATATATAAATTTAAGATATTCCACTGGAAGAGAATGTGTCTCCCCCCCACACTTTTTCCATTAAAGAATGCTAATATTCAGGGAATTGACACAGCGTTATAGTAAACAGCATGATCAAGGAAAGAGATATGAGGTTAGACTAGGTAGAGTTAATGAAGACTGAATTTAAAGTATAAAGGTCCCATACCACTGTTTTTGTTTTTGTTTTCTTTCAGGATTTTATTTAAATTCAAGTTGTTTAACATATAATGTAGTACTAGTCTCAAGGGTAGATGTTTTTGTTTTTAATTGAACAAGGGCTTATGACCTGTAACGTTACACAATTTATAACCAACTTAAATTGTGCTAGAGTATGGTTGCATTCTGATTATCTGGTGATTGGATGTTCTGTTTTTACCTTTAGAATTCAGAAATAGACTCTCTTCATTATTAATAACAATAACTTTAATGTATTATTTACTTTAGGAAAAAATGCTAATATTCATGCATGCTCTCTTGTGTTTTGCTTATAATTATTCATGATAGAAAATAAAACACATACTTGAATTCCAGATACCAATGGATCAGATAACTCTATCCCAATGGCTTATCTTACACTGGATCACCAACTACAGGTAAAAAGAGTACTTTCTCAGTGAATGTTTACTTTTTCCTTAGAAGTTTAGACATAGTCTCTCTAGAAAGTGGACAGTTTTATTTATATCTGGCATCATATATTCATTTATTTATGCTTTTAGATGGCCTCCTTAAACTTTCTAAAATCAAGTTAAAATGATTTGTCCAGTTAAGTTTAAGTTAATCAGATCTAAAATTGGTAGTCATAGGTTAACAGTTGTCTTTAAATATTTCCATATGTTTGTTTAAGAATACCAAGAATGTGGGGGGGTCATCTGGATTCCTCAGTTAGTTAAGTATCCAACTCCTTTTTTTTTTTCTCTCTCTTTTTTTAAAGATTTTATTTATTTATTTGACAGAGACATAGTGAGAGAGGGAACACAAGCAAGGGGAGTGGGAGAGGGAGAAGCAGGCTTCCCACCAAGCAGAGAGCCCAATGTGGGGCTTGATGCCAGGGCTCTGGGATCATTACCTGAGCTGAAGGCAGATACTTAATGACTGAGCCATCCAGGCGCTGCAAGCATCCAACTCTTGATTTTGGCTCAGGTCCTGTTCTCAGGGTTATGAAGTGGAGCCCCATGTCAGGCTCTCCACTGGGTGTGGAGCCTGCTTGAGATTCTCTCACTTTCTCAAAAAAAAAAAAAGGGGAATGCTAAGAATATCAAAAATAGCATTTTTGCTCTTTAATTTTAGTGCTGCAGTATAAAAATTTACAGAAGCTCATTTCTATTTAATAGATTTCATGGTACACTGTCATATTCATAGTGACTGAGAATTTAAGTAATACACTTAACTGTCTCCTCATGAGTATGAGAGCTAGAAGCTTCTTTTGGTATAATACAGTTTGACAACCTGAAATGTAAAACCAGAGGCCAGTGATACTCTGGTCATGATTCTCTGTAACAACAAAAGTGTTAAAACAGCGAGTGTGAATTTATATTCTGAGTTAACTCTGTCAAAAGGACACTGACATTTTCTAGACCATGGTTTAACACTTATTTTTAAAAGACAACTGCTTTAGTGCTATGAAAACATATCACTTACTGTCTTAACTCTCAGCTTGATATTGAACTTTGATTGAATTATGTTTTAAGAGTCCTGATTTATTTTTAGCCTCTAGCACCGTGCCCAAACTCCAAAGAATCTATGGCAGTGTTTGAACAGCATTGTAAAATGGCGCAAGAATATATGAAAGTTCAAACGGAAATTGCATTGTTATTACAGAGAAAGTAAGTTATCTTTTATGAATAAAACACATTAGTATTTTGAGTTTAAAATATGTTAAGGTGAAATATTGTTGGAAAACATGAAAACTTTGTAATTTTTAGAACTAATCGTTAAGCATAGAGTTGACCCTTGAACAGCTTGAGGGTTGGGGTGCTGAACCCCTACTCATCGAAAAATCCACATGTAAATTTTGACTCCTCAAAAGTGCTATTGGCCTACTGTTGACTAGAATCCTTACCAATAACATAAACAGTCAATTAACACATATTTTATATATGTATTATGTACTTTATTCCTAGAATAAAGTAAGCTAGAGAAAAAGTTTTCTTAAGGAAATCATAAGGAAAAGAAAACACATTTACAGTACTGTACAAAAATCCATGTGGAAGATGATCCATGTAGTTCAGACCCATGTTGTTCCAGGGTCAACTATATTTCCAACTTGAAGGTTTTACATGTGTTCATCTTTAAGTTTAAAGCAACTTTTGGCTTTTTTTTTTAATGCAAAATTCATCCCTTTTGACTACATATACTATATTAAAATTAAGGAAAATAAATTGGTGTTATATAAACATTTCTTATGTCCTAAGAATTTTAAAGCTAAAAGCTATTTAGATTTATAGTTATAAAGATTTATTATTTCTTTAGACATAGATAAAATAATTTGATTTACTAATACTCAGCTGTGTGTGATGAGTGCTATGAAATGTGGAAGCCCAATGATTCACAGACCTGTACCCCTGGGGAAAATAATATGTTATATGTTAACATAAAAAATAATAAATAAAAAAATATTTTATAGATATATTCTTTCTAGGTATATGTTTATTTTATACATGTGAGTGTTTTTCTGGGGGGTTTTATACTCACGTGTTTTTCTGAGAGTTATAAAGAGGCTGCCTTCCTCCTCCCTTTTTTAAGAAAACCAGTTTTCATGGTCCTTTATTTGAAATTCTAAAAAACAAAACAAAAACTTCAGTTTTCTTAAGCATGATCCTCATGAAATTTTATACCTCTGAAGCTTAATTATTGTGGAAACTGAAATGAAGTGCTGTAGTACAAAATCAAGGCAACTATATGTATACATGGTAATAGGATTCCCTCTGTTAATTTTAACCTAAATAAATGAAAATTTCTTGCTTCCTGAAGTAATTTGTGGGAAGTTTTGTTTGTACTTCAAAAAAAAAAAAAAAAAAAAAAAAACAACCGAAACCAAGCTCCTACTGTTAAAATTATTTCAGCTCAATACCTTAAAGGATATACAGTAAATAAATATTAGAATCTGCTAATTGTAGAATTGTTGACACTTCATGTTTAAAAAAAAAAACCTCTTTCTTTCACATATTTAATCTATACTTTGTTCATTTGAAGGAGGAATTAGTTGTGTGCTAGAAAAAATAAATGATGGATTAAGGGAGTGTGAAAATTGTGACAGTTTTAATCAATATTAAATACTTTAAATGAGAAATATTATAAGAAAATCATCTAAAGGCTTTTCATTAATTATTCAGTTATATCCAGGAACTTCACTTTAGGAGTTAATAATGAACATCTCAAAGTTTTATCAGGCTATAAAAGTGTCTAATGGTCTTTCCTGAAAATGTTCGTAAAAGTGAGTTAACTCATTTGAAAGTGGTACTTTGTATTGTTCTCACTTTTAAAATAGGAAATAGATTCTAAGTTGGTAGCATCTATTTTAATTAGCTTGTACATGTTATATGAGCCCCCACTTTGTACTGTAGTTAAATAAGACTGTAACTTCAAGCATGAATAAAAGTTCATGAGTGTAAAAGTGGAATGTGAATGATAAAACATGTTATTTTCCTGTGGTCAGGAAACTAGTATTTAAAAGTTGTTTTATACCATTTTATCTGCATTCACTATTTGTCTAAGTACAGTTACTTACAAAAGGATTATGGTGTTTCTATGGGTACACAGACTAGTGGGTGATAGATTTTATTCTAGTCCACAAGTGTATTTGATAAGTATACCTAAGATGCATAATGATCAACCCAGAATAAAAGTCCTAAAAAGTCGAGCTCATCAATTATTAGTATGAATTTTTCTATCACATACAATATTTTATTGTGTGGTATTTGTTTTCAGGCAAGAACTAGTTGCAGAACTGGACCAGGATGAAAAGGACCAGCAAAATACATCTCGTCTGGTACAGGAACATAAAAAGCTTTTAGATGAAAACAAAAGCCTTTCTACTTACTACCAGCAATGCAAAAAACAACTAGAGGTCATCAGAAGTCAGCAGCAAAAACGACAAGGCACTTCATGATTCTCTGGGACCTTTAAATTTTAAAATATGCAAAGAAAGACTTTTTTTTTTTTTTTTAGGAAAAGAAAAACCCTTATAATGACAATTCATGAGTATTAGCTTGGGGCGTGTTCTGAATGCCAACTGCCTGTATTTGCTGCATTTTGTTTCATCGTTAATTTTCTTTTTCTTATGGTGGACATGCAATTCAACTGTCTCCTTGCATAACATGGGGCATCTGTGACTTGAATAAGCAGCAGTTCTCAACTTCAAAACAGCTGCAGTGAACCATGGCTGTATATGCATGCTCATTGTGTGAAGGCTAGCCTAACAAAAACGGGGTATCAAACTAGCTGCTATGTGCAAACATCGTCTTTTTTTCGAGGTGGAACCTCAAGAATGATTTTGTTCTTGTATCTCATCTCAAAAAACAATTTTTTTTCCAAAAGATGGTATATGCCAAGTTAAAGACAGGGTATTATAAATCTAGAATAATCAGTGGTACATTATAGAAATGCAGAACATTTAAGGATAGTTGCAAGTGAGGGCTCTGATGCCAGCATCCTTCAATCAGTACTGAACTTAGTTCCATCCACAAAATATTTAAAGGTAAGTGGTGGTTGCTGTATTTAACGAAAACATACTTCATTGGACTAAAATCTGACTATGATACATTGAACAAAATGGAACCTTTTTTTTAAGATATAAAGATTTTAATTTTGTGATTGAGTGTATGTGTGTTGAAACTGTAAAGATTTTATCACTCTAATAGTAATATCTCTTAAATGAAATTAAAAGGTAAATGAACACGATCCAGCTTAAATGATCATTCCTTCCTGCAATGATTATTGGATTGTTTTAGTTTATATTTGAAAAACTAAAGAGAAATAATTGAAAATGGAAATAATTGCTCCAGCTAAAAGGCTTGGGCTTAGATTTCTTTTATGATACCAAAAGAGTAAAAAACCTGGCAAATCAGGAGAAGTTAGTAAGGAAATTAAAGAAATAAATACAAATTCATGAAGTATACTATCTATGAGCATTGGAGTAATTGATTTTCCTTGCAAGCCCATCCTAGAATGCCTGCTGCCTTTCAACACTTTTAAGGGAATTTCAACACTTATAAAGAGAAAATTTATATTGTTAACAATAACTTTGCTACCAACTTTGAAAATAAAGGTAATAAATTCATTGAAATAATAGACTATATAAGCTCTATTTTTTCAGTTGGTATTAAAATAAATCACATTTTGATACCAGTACAAGGTGTCTTTTAAACAAGGATGTCATCAACTTCATTTTTATAGCATTAATGTTTTATGAAGAGAAAATTAAAAATGGAAGCATAATTGCTGTGATTATTAGAATTACATCATGATTGTATTGTAGTTTTGCTCTGTTTCAGATAAGCAAGTTGATCTAAGAAGTTATCAAAACTATTCTTAAAAATGCTAAAGCGGGTAACTTTTTCTTCTGTTATTTTTTTCTCCTCCTTCTGAGTTTTATAATGTATTCCTGTGTATACAAGCAATAAAGGTAAAAGACAGTTTGTACTAAACTGTGTCATTTTTAGCTTCCTCAAAATCTGTTACCAGAAAGTTTCCAGTAAATAAACGTCTACCATTACTTTATTTAAATAAAAGAAAGGGCTGTCATTCCCAAACAATTTGATTACCTAACTGAAAGTATACTGTCTGAACACATCAATAGTAAAATAAAATTGACATAGAAAAGAACTGTAGAGTAAGGAAAAGTATAACCCATTCATAGCATTGCTGCTTGTGATATGTGTGTGTCACTCCACCAAAAGGGATCTAGTCAGTGCTCAGAGACTTTTCTGGTTATCTCAGAGCATGAGATATTCAAGTGTGGATGCTAATGGTTAACCTTTCCGTTAGGATTTAGCATTATAGATTTCAGATTTTATTTCTAGTCATTAATGTGTTTTTGCTATATATTACATACTTAAAGGGAAAATTTATTATTATTACATGTAATCACTTTATAAAAATCTCAAATAGGAAAATGGAAGAAAACAGTAGTGTTAAGTCATGGTGCCAAATGCCAAAAAAAAAAAAAAAAAAAAAAAAAGGCTATTGAACCCTTGCTTGTTTGTTTACAGTAAGTTCCTTGTTTGTTTACAGTAAGTTCCTTCATTCTCACACTGTAATTCTCCTAGACGCTGAGTGTACTTCAGCCTACTTGGTTTTAAAGTAGTTGTGTTGCAAAGTTCATACCTTTTAAGTCCTGATTATCCTTGATGGGAGAAAAGGGCAGCAGGGATAATCAAAATCTACAGCCGGTTTTATCCCTCATCCTCACCATCAAACCTTCAAACAGATTTTAACAAGGAGCCGAATGTTTTACTTATAAAAAAATTTTACTTTTTATTCTAACTCTCATTTTTGGGTAGAAATAGTGAACAGACAAGCAAGTAGCTTAAAGGCCCTCATGTAAGAAATTCACAAACAATCCCTAATTACATTTCATTTTTTCCCTCAAGGGAAAGAAAACAAAGTCTAGGGAGAGACACTCCTCAGCATTAAAAATAACTGAGTCGAATGAAAATCATTTAACATTATTAACTTTAGGGCAGCACCGCATATTGAAGAGATTTGCTTGAAAGTTGTTTACAATTGTTTGACTTTTTGTTGAACCATTTTAGAGTACTTAATGTGGTTTTTTTCCTCCCAAGTTTCTTCTGTGTTCCTAGTTTCAGGTCCTGCTTGTAGCCAGAGGTCACAGGCATTGCCTGTGATGCTCTTTTCTTTCTGTAAGTGTGTGGCTTTCAGCAGTGAACTTCTCTCTTCAAATGGTAGGAAGTTCTACTTCTGTCATTCAGAACATTTTATGTGAAACAGTGTAATGCAGAAATCCTTGTATATACTGTATACTTGAAGGAAGCTTTTTAGATTTATTTTTGTTTGTAATAAAATTCAGATTGTTATTCTAAACTTGTTTATAAAAATGGTTAATGATTTATATCAGCAAATGAGCTATAGGAGCGTTTTACCTTACATGAAATTAAATAAAAACTGAAAAGTGAGTACTCTTAAAATACTCAACACAATTGTAACGTAATCATGATTTTTGAGAGGGTAAGTCACTGGCCAGTTAACATATCCATCTGTAACAATTCACATTTTTTTGTTAAATGGGTACTCTTCACAATTTCATTAAATCATGATTTATATAAAGTACAGTATGGCATATACATTACTGAGTGATTCTTCTCATTAGAAAACTGATTTCCTCTAGGTTATCTACCTTACATTAAGTATTCCATTCCATTATCAACTTCCTAGTCTCCCAGCCATCACATAATGCACACATAAACTTTTACAAACTTGACCTTCATTTTAGTAAATCAGCTCATTCATCATTCACTCATTCCTTTAACAAATATTTATTGAGCACCTGTTATAAGTGAAGCTCCTGTGGCTAATCAGTTACATGTTCTCTTTAGTCACATGGTAGTTAGATCATATTCTCATTTCCCAGATGGAAAATTAGGCTGCTAAAGGTTAAGACTTTTGCCTGAGTCTCCTTTTCCCCCATCATCTGTTTTAGGCAGAATCTCATGCAAGGGGACGCTGTGGCTACCATCCCATGATGCAAAGAAGAGCATGAGAAATGCAAACGGGGGGAAGATAAGAGGTCACTTGCAGGCACAGAGGCTTTGTGACCACTCTATAGATCACAACAAAGCCAACACTGAGACCCACACGTGTCTTTTAAAACCAAGAGTGTGCTCCAAACCATTCTGCCGTACTGTAATTTAAAACTTGCTGAATGCTTCAGCTTTCACATTCATTTATTCAATGAGTGGGGTGCCTTCACTCTTCCACTCCCCTCAGCTGAATGACATGCTAAAAATGGAAATAGAAATGATATTGTGAGGCTTGGTCTAGAAAGAAGACTTGTTCTCCACTCTCAGGAAAGGCTTCAGGCTTTTTCATTTTTGGTTTGTTTTTGTATCTCTGTTTTTACTTTTTTGTTTTTTTTTTTCAATTGGGATATAATTTTTATATAAGAAACTGCATCCATATAATGATGTGTAATGCAGTTTACTGAGTTTTGACATGCTCATACACTCAGGAAACCATCCAACAAACAAAATACATAATGAACATTTCCACCCCCCCTCCCCAAGGTCTTCCATTCCCCTTTACAGTCCTTCCCTCCCTTTACTTCGGGCCTCAGGCACAGCGCTTTCTAACAAATAAAAATTTGCTTGCATTTTCTACTGTTGTAAACAATAAAATCACTCAATATGTACTCTTTACTTTTTAAGCTTTTTTCCCCCTCTTGAATAGTTGTTTTAATGCCTTTCACAGGAAATTTTAATTAAACCATTCTTAGCGATACTTGAGAACTTTTCACTATCAGTCTTCAAGAGAAAACGCAGGTTTGAAGAGACTTTCAATGCGTCCATTGTAGCCAGCTTGATTGTGTCGTGTTATCTTCTGAAACATTTCACATCACTTTATTTTTACATTTTCAGAACCCTAATACTTTGCTTACAAAATCCCTTGGGTTGTTTGTTAAAGTCAGCTTGTTTCTCTCTGCATTTAGGTGTTAGAAATGCAACACAGATGTGGACAGTAGCAACCTATTAGTAGGTTCATGATAGTTTTCAGCAAATACAGTTGATCAGTGTAACTTCTTAAAAGTTACTCCTTCCATTTTCATTTAGATTGTGGCTGCTGTTTTGCTACTCAGAAACCTGGGAAACTCTATTTTAAAAAACAAAACAGTCTTCTGTATATAGTATTTGACATGGGTATCTTCTACCGATGCTGTTGGTGGTCCTGTCTGCTATAGTGGTGCCCATAGAAATAAATAAGATTACACTGGTAGCTCATGTATTGCTTACTGCCAGGGCCTGGGTTCCTTTTCCATCAGTAATTAGTAACTGCTCTCAGTTTCTCATCCCTACTGCCATGAGGGCCCACCAAAACAGTTTGTGAAATGAACTGCCCTTCATGTCAGTTTTTCAGTGAAGTCTTTTTGAGAATCAAATTCTTATTTAACTTTATCTGAGTCTTGTGGTGCTTTTTTAAACGTTTTATTATTTGAGAGAGAAAGTGCATGAGAGGGGGGAAGGCAAGGAGGGGCAGAGGGAGAAAGAGAAGCAGACTCCACACTGAGCAAGGAACCCACTGTAGGGTTCAGTCCCAGGACCCTGGGATCCTGACCTAAGCCCAAGGCAGACGCTTTTAACGATCTGAGCCACCCAGGCACCTCCATGGTGCTTTTATATTTCCAAGTAACAAAATGCGTTTTTTTATCCTGTAATTTAGTGGTCAGTGATCTCTTGTAAATGCCATATGGCATCAGGATAATTGCTTTGAATACACCAGAAATCACTGAACAAATGCTGGATATTTATCTTCTGAAAAACAAAAGTAATATACAAAATGCATTTCCTTCTCAGACTTGTTTTTTGTTTCTTCTGGTGGACACCTCTTCTTTAGTTACTATAGGAGAAACTACATTAAACATTGATAAATTTACTAAATTCAAATTAGAGACAGAAGAAACCTGAAAATGGGTATAACTTTTTATGGTTGAAGAAAAAATAGTAGTATTACTTCACATGCCTTGTTGACTTTTAATCTGTTTCCTACAAAGATACTACCTAGTACCCATCTAAAATGTGAGCATATTACTTGGCAAAAATCGATACCACTCTTGTTTCTTTTGTGTCTTCCATGAGAACCTTTTAACAGATATTGTTTCTTTGAGGATTGGAAACATGTCTTTATTCTCTAAGCTACATATGAAATTGATAATTTATATGCTTACAAGCAATATTTTAGTACATTTGGGCTAGTATATACTAGTACATTGCTGGACAACAGTCTTACTTAAAAATTCATACTAAAACTCATGTCCAACTACATAATTCTGTCTCCCCATTCATGATTCCACATTTTACGTACAGGACAGTTGAAGTGGTATAAGTTCCTTGGCCTAAGCTGAGTATTTCTTACATTTTTACTGTCTTTTGCAGTCATATCAGAAAATTCTCCAGTCTCTGTGCTCCATGTACTGTGATTCATAAGGACGTAAGTTTGGCTGCTGCCCAAAATAATAGCTTAAACAAGATAGCAGTTTTTTCTTTCTCACAGCAAAAGTCTAAAATAATATAGTTTTGCTCATCTGCCTCCTAGCCAAAGAGGAGGCAGAAAGGGCAAGAGCAGTGAAGGTACAGTTACTTAGGCTCCCATCTGTTAGCCAGAACGTTGTCACATGAATTTACGCTACTTGCAGGGAGGCTGAAGAAGTCTGTATAAATGGACAGCCATATGCCTAACTAGAAGGTAGGAATTCAGTTACAAATGAAGGATCGAAAAGATTTAGAGGACAGGTAGTCTCCACCACTCAACCACTGGAGTCCTTGCATGCGTCCCACAGGGGTAGGAACTTCCCTTCCATTACTGGCCCCAGCCTGGATCCTTGCAGGTAGGGGTTGACCCAAAGGGAGGGGATTCCAAAGGTTCTCCCGTGGATTTTGGTGAGGAGGACGCTCAGTCTCAACAAGAGGAGGAAAAAAAAAAAAAAAAAGTCAGAATTTTAATGACTCTAACTTGTTCCTTATTCTTATTAATATACATCCTAGGGACCTCAGCCTCTGAAATTTGGCTTCACAATGACAGGCTATTTATTCAGGGAAATAAACTTTTTTTTCCAGTTCCCAAAGTGATTCTGTTACACTGACAGATTATAGAATTACCCACACCATAGAGCAGATAGAAGGGGTATTGCCTTTGTAAATTTACTAGATTCTAACCCATCTAGTGTTGTGAAAGCTAAGAGGAGGAGTGTGAGATTGTGATGTGTAGTAAGAAATCTATATTTTCCCTTCTTGTTCCTGGCACACAGCTGGAATTTCTTAGGTGGTGAGAACAATAAAGACGTCTCACTTTGTTAATGAAATGATTTTTGGGAAAGCCCTTAGGTGGGGATGGAAGTTGGTTGCCAGGGGGGCCAACTGCCTGGTTAGAAGGTGGGAACTGTCTTTCATTCCCCTCTGCCGAACTTCAGGGAGGAAAGAAGGAC